CCCCTTTCTCTGAAACGTGCCCGGCCAAAATGAAAGAATGGGGTCTCACGCATATATATATATATCTTTAGAAGGACTTGTTTGAAGTCAACCAGTAAACCTGAGGGAGCCGACATCTAATATTTATTAATTGTCGTCTTAGGACGCGCCTTCATTACAAGTTTGACTAAGATCATAGCTGACTCGGAGCTCTCAGCCCGTCAAAAAAAAGTATTCCAAGGCCTTTCAACAAAAGAATCTGCAAATTAAAGCTGGAAATATACCATTGAAGGTGGTGGTGGGGCGGGGGGGGGGGATTTGCGCTCCACCCTTCTGCTTTTTTTGTTTTGTTTGTTTGTTTAGGTCTCTAAGCCCTGCTTGCCCTGAAAACCAAACTCTGAAGTTTTGCATGCAAAGCTTCCCTCCGGGTCCCTGGTTTACAGAAAGATCTGGAGAGGGAGAGGGATGCCACAAGTTTCTTTTCTGGAGCGGCTTCACCTTTTGATCTATACCGTGGGGCTCAGGCGTGGCTGGGTGCAAGGTTATTATTAACTTTTATTATTATTAACTTTATTTAATAAAGTTAATAATAATAAAGGTAAATAAGGATGTTCTATTTTTTTTTTCGTGTCAGGAGCAACTTGAGAAACTGCAACTAGCTTCTGGTGTGAAAGAACTTGCCCTGCAAGGACGTTGTCTAGGAGACACCCGGATGTTTTACCATCCTGTGGGAGGCTTCTCCCTTGACCCCGCATAAGAAGCTGGAGCTGACAGACGGGAGCTCACCCCGGATTCGGATTCGAATCTTGACCTTTAGCAGTCCTGCTGGCACAAGGGTTTAACCCATTGCGCCAAGGGGGGCTCCGGTTGTTATATTAAGGAAAAGGGAGATTTCAGAACTGATAGAAGTGGGAAAGATCATCCATCCTGTAAACATCTGTTCTTTAAAATGTACCCTCCCCTCTTCAAAAGGCACTATAGATAATCCAAGAGAGAAAATAGCTCGCTTTCTTTTCAACAAGACTTGGAGAAATCTCTTTTTGTTATCTCGATCATATCATTTCACATAAATATTTATTCATCAACAGAAATACACGAAAAAAAGCACTTCTGGTGGTGTCTAATCGACATCTCATATTGGCTACAGCTTCTCTTCTCTTTTGTTTGGAAAACGTTGCCTAGTTTTGTTTGTTTTGGGAACATGAATCAGAAATGCATGACCCTTGCTTGATTTTTAAAAAAATAAATGCTGGTATGTAGGAGGTGACAAAGGCCATATTAAAAGATGCGAGGACGAGGGGGGGATGGGGCGAAATGTAAGACCTTGTTTTTCCATCCAAAGAAAATCCTCATAGGAACGAGAAAGGAAACATAACTCTGTTGGGGGAAAAATATACCAGTTTGAGTCTTTCGAAGCTGGCGGGTTTTGTTTTTTTTTTATATAGAGAGAGGTTTATATAACGGGGTATTGTTACATAAAGGTATACCTCCCGCCCCAACCCATTACAGAAAGAAAAAACTGAGAATCAATTATTTTGGGGGGAGGGAAGAGAGAGAAACCAGCCAACGTAAGTATGAAGCATAATAATCAATGTTCTCTTAACATCACCTTGAAAATTTGCATATTTGCGTTTCCCCCTCCTATCCATGCATAACAAAACATTTTTGCCATTTCATAAAAATCTTTTTTTTCTCACTTTTTTTTTCATTAACGTTTTCAAAACAGGTAAAAAACAGCATGACACACAAATTTTGGAAAATAAGTTACTCGGGGTTACAAGGGTAGTTCAGAAAGTCAGTGATTGTTAAATACAAGGGAAACCTACGACAGTCCGTTTTCCCCAAATCAAAAAAAGTGCACGATTCCTTTTTTTTTTCAAACCTCACGGAGTTTCTTGGTCCATATTTCTAATATTTCATATGGATTTTTTTTTGTCGTTGTTTTTCCTCCCCCCTCTTTTTTCCTTTCCCCCCTCCCCTAGTTTCAGTACCTACTTGCATAGATAAGGATAGAATATATTTATCATCTGTTTGCCCCTTTATTGCTTTTTTTTAAAAGTTCTCACTGCATTGACTGAAAGTTTGCAAACATTTGTGTATGTGTTTTGTTTGTAAAAGAGTCCTGAAATAGATCAAATTCCCGGGGATTCAGTTGGAAAGCTTTCTCCTCAAACTCCCCCGCTGCCTTTCCCTCATTTTTGTTTTCAACCGGTTGAATCTTTAAGAAAAAAATAGACTAAATACCTATAAGGCATTGCTGGATATAGGCAATCGATTAGGATGCGGGGCAATCCTCTCACCACTCTCTCCCCCTTCATACACCAATGTTGTCTTCCCTCCCCTTAACCACACTTCCAAAAAAATCCTCTTCTTGGTGGTCAAGATCTCCACAAAAACAGTCGACTAGCTATATAGTTTGTATTTCTTTTAAATATAAAATTGCATTCGAGTATATATTGCACCAGATTTCTCTTCCTAGTATTTTAATGGGGGGTGGGGGTTCAAGGGAAAGAGATCAGGGCATCGACCCAATTACTCCTAGTTGAGTCTGGAGCTTCAGTGGGACAAAAGGGTCTTGGATCAGCTTTGTCCACCCCCCCCCCCCCCCAAAAAACCCCCCTAAACACCCAATCGGGGATCCAAGCCATCCAAGTCCCTTACCTCAGTATAAGTGGCTACTCCCTCCAGCTCCAAAAAAGGACGCTGGCCTCAATGGGTTTGTGGAATGGTTAAGGTAAAGGTTTCCCCTGACTAACTCTAGTCTTGTCCGACTCTGGGGTGGGGGGTTCACCCCCATTTCTAAGCCTACCTTCCGCAGAAGTGATACCTATTGATCTACTCACATTTGCATGTTTTCGAACTGCTAGGTTGGCAACAGCCGGGGCTAACAGCGGGACCTCACCCCACTCCCGGATTTGAACGGCTAACCTTTCGGTCAGCAAGTTCAGCAGCTCAGGGGTTTAACCCTCAGTGGTGGGTGGGGGGGATAGGAGGGGAAGGGTGTCTTCTACTTCCATTAGAAGTTGAGCACTTGGTATCGGTTTGAGTTTGTTTCTCCTGCTTGAAAAACCACCCCACTCTTTCCCGCAAAGCCAATCCGCTGGGACTCCTACAGCTAGGCCATGAGACACATCTACACCCACCACTTAATGCGGATGGAAGGCAGCTTGAATTATGCTTGGCCGTTCCACTATGGAGATGATTACATAGGAAATCCTGACACCAGTTGGAGGCTTTCTTTCATGAGCTTTTGTTGGAATTTGTTGTCTGTCTGCCCGAGTTTGAAGCTAGCTTTGAACTGCATTAAATGGACAGTATGGTTGGGGTCTGTGATGCATAAGGGGTGGGGGTGGGGAAAGGAAAGCACCACCTTGAAATCACATATGCTTTTTTTTTCCATGTCAGGAGCGACTTGAGAAACTACAAGTGCTTCTGGTGTGAGAGAATTGGAAGTCTGCAAGGACGTTGCCCAGGGGACAGATGTTCTGATGTTTTACCATCCTTTTGGGAGGCTTTCTCATGTCTCAGCATAGGGAGCTGGAACTGAAGATCCAGGAATAGGGTGGGAGCCTTTAAGCACTGCCCAGGTCCCATCTATACTGACCATTTCATGCAATTCAAAGCTAGATTCAGATTGTAGTGGCCAGACAACAAACTCCCACAACCTTGCCATAGATGTGGGTGAAACCTCAGGAAATAATGTTTCTGGAGCAGGGAGGGGGGTGGGGGGAGAGACAGAACAACCCAGAAACTCCCACAACACTAAAAAAAGCCCCTAATGTGCATCAGGGACAGGGCCTTTTCAGTGGCTCTTTCCAGACTTTGGAACTCCCTCCCAAGAGAGACCTGGATGGTCCCATCCTTGTTTGCCTTCTGCAAGCAGCTAAAGATATTTGGGAGAGGATGAAGGCCACGCTGCTGGGGGAGTTTGGGGTGGGATTTGAGGAGGATGGTCAGCTTTAAATATAATTTTAGGTTGTATTTATTGTATTTGATGAATATTTAAGTGTTGTATTTGTTTTCTTTCACATCCTTATTGGATGTATGTATTGTCTAAGGCAGGGATGGGCAAACTTGGACCCTCCAGGTAATTTGGACCTCAATTCCCATCATTCCTAACAGCCTCAGGCCCTTTCCTTTCCCCCCTCAGCCGCTTAAGTGGCCTTCATCCTCTCTTAAGCGGCTGAGGGGGGAAAGGAAAGGACCTGAGGCTGTTAGGAATGATGGGAGTTGAAGTCCAAAACACCTAGGGGGCTCAAGTTTGTCCATGTCTGATCTACACTATAGAATCAATAGTTTGACACTACTTTAAATGCCATGGCTGAATGCAAAGGAAAGAGCCTGAGTCTGTCAGGAATAGTGGGAGTTGAAGTCCAAAACACCTAGAGGGCCCAAGTTTGTCCATGCCTGATCTACACTATAGAGTTAATTCAGTTTGACACTACTTTGCCACTGGCAAAGGAATGGAGCCTGAGTCCAAAATACTTGGGAGGGCCAAGTTTGCACATACCTGATCTACACTATAGAATCAATTCAGTTTGACACTACTTTAACTGCAATTGGCAAAGGAATGGAGCCTGAGGATGTTAGGAATGGTGGGAGTTGGAGTCCAAAACATCTAGGGGGCCCAATGCAAAGACTGTAGAATCAATACAGTTTGATACTACTTTAAATGCCATTGCTGAATGCAAAGGAAGGGGGCTGAGGCTGTTAGGAATGTTGGGAGTTGGAGTCCAAAACACCTTGAGGGCCCAAGTTTGCCCATGCCTGGTCTAAGCCTTTCAAATCACTGGGTTGTCTTGTGTTCAGGAGAAAATGCTGCTAAGAAGAGGGCCATATATCCCGGAAACTACACAAGACCTCATGACTCAATGCAAAGGAAGGAGCCTGAGGCTGTTAGGAATGGTGGGAGTTGGAGTCCAAAACACCTAGTTTTCCCATGCCTGGTCTAAACCTTTCAAGTCACTGGGTTGTTGTGTGGTCAGGAGAAAATGCTGCTAAGAACAGGGTCATATAACCACACAAGACCCCACTGTTATTGGATGGTGTGGTTGCCAGCCGCCTTGAGAGCCCTCACAGGGAGAAAGGCGGGATATAAATGAAGTTAACCGAGGCCTCAAACTACAGTTCCAGGATTTCCTATGTAATCATCTGGTCAGTGCGGATGGGGCGCTTTGAAGACTGCTGGCCTGGCTGGAGTAGCTGTGCCCCTGGCTCTGGCGTGTGCCTGTGTGTGCGTGTGTCTGTGGGGCCTAGAAACGGGTCCGGGGGAGGAGGGCCGGCGGCGTTAATTGTGGAAGAAGGCGTTGAGCTCCTCGTACATGGGCCCCCGCTCGTGGTGGAGGTGCATCTCGTAAGGCAAAACGTTCTCGGAGTGGAGGCCGCCTCGCATCCCGGCGGCGGCGGCAGCGGCGGCGCCGAAGACCAAGTTGTGTCCGGCGGGGCGCGCCCCGGGCAGGGCGGAGTAGTGCATAGAGTAGTGGTAGGAGTTTTTCTCGTGGTCGGGCGAGGAGTCCGGCTTGAGGGAGAAGTTCCCGTTGACGCAGAGCGGCGGCGGCGGGCTGAGCGGGCCCTCGTACTCGGAGCTGTTGTAGTCCGGCGAGGCGTTGCCGCCGTAGAGGGCCTCGTAGGAGGCGGCGCAGTAGGCGTGAGTCCGGAGCGCGTGGGAGCTGCTGGACCCGCCGCCGCCCGCCCCTCCGCACTGGGCCCCGGAGAGCCGGGCGCAGGGGTAGCCGTAGGGGTGGTGGGGCCCCACGCCGAAGCCCCCGCCGCCCCCGCCGGGCCCCCCGTGGTACCTGCCGCCCAGGTCGGGCCCCTGCTCGGTGAGGAAGTTCCTGGAGTTGAGCTGGAGGCAGCCGGCCACCAAGTTGGTGGTGGGCTGCGAGAGGCCCTTGCACAGCGTCTGCACGTAGGCCACCAGGTCGGGCCGCTTGCCCGAGCGCAGGATCTCCGACAGCGCCCAGATGTAGTTCTTGGCCAGGCGCAGCGTCTCGATCTTGGAGAGCTTCTGCGTCTTGGAGTAGCAGGGCACCACCTTGCGCAGGTTGTCCAGGGCGGCGTTGAGGTCGTGCATGCGGTTCCGCTCGCGGGCATTGGCCTTCTGCCGCCGCACCTTGGAGCGCTCCAGGCGGGCCTTGGTCATCTTGCGCTTCTTGGGGCCCCGCTTCTTGGGGCGGTCGCCTTCGGCCTCCTCCAGGCCGCCGTCCTCCTCGTCCTCCTCCTCGTCGTCCTCCCCCCCGCCGCCTAGGTCGTGCTCCTCCTTGATGTCGCCCCCTCCACCGTCACCTCCTCCTCCTCCCGCGTCGCCATGGCTCTCATTCTTGCTCTTCCGCGGCTCCTCCTTGTCGCTGGCCTCGTCGTCCTCGTCCTCGTCGTCCTCGCAGGCCTCGGCCCAGGCGGAGAACTTCTGGACGTCGGGGATCAGGCTGGGCTCGCTGAAGAGGCGCGTCAACATGGTGGCTGGAGGAGGGAAGGCGCCCCACGCCGAGCGGGAGGGAAGCAAAGAGGAGACAGGTTATTTCCTCCCTCAAAAGGGGGTGTAAACACCAAAAGAGGTGTTGGGTGGTTTCCGTGCTCTAGCAGGCGTTTGGGTTGCATCTGTGGCTGGCCTCTTCAGAGGAGCTGATGCTTTACCACTATGAGGTCCTCTGAAGATTTTGTGTGTGTGTCAGAAGCGACTTTAGAAACTGCAAGTCGCTTCTGGTGTGAGAGAATTGGCGTCTCCAAGGACGTTGCCCCTTCTGGTGTGAAAGAATTGGCCGTCTGCAAGGACGTTTTCCCTTTTGGTGTGAGAGAATTGGCCCTCTGCAAGGACGTTGCCCCCTCTGGTGTGAGAGAATTGGCCCTCTGCAAGGACGTTGCCCCCTCTGGTGTGAGAGAATTGGCCGTCTGCAAAGATGTTGCCTCTTTTGGTGTGAGAGAACTGGCCATCTGCAAGGACCTTGCCCCTTCTAGTGTGAGAGAACTGGCCTTCTGCAGGGACGTTCTCCCTTTTGGTGTGAGAGAATTGGCCCTATGCGTTGCCCCTTCTGGTGTGAGAGAACTGGCCGTCTGCAAGGACGTTACCTCTTCTGGTGTGAGAGAATTGGCCGTCTGCAAGGACGCTCTCCCTTTTGGTGTGAGAGAATTGGCCGTCTGCAAGGACATTGCCCCTTCTAGTGTGAGAGAATTGGCCCTCTGCAAGGACGTTACCCCGGGATGCCTGGATGTTTGATGTTTTACCATCCTGTGGGAGGCTTCTCTCATGTCCCTGCATGAGGAGCTAGAGCTGACAGAGGGAGCTCAACCTGTTCTCCCCAGATTCAAACCACTGACCTGTGGGTCAAGCTAGCACACAGATTTAACCCATTGCGCCACGGGGGCTCCTCTGAAGATGCCAGCCACAGATGTAGGTGAAACTTCAGGAGAAAATGCTGCTAGAACAGGGACACATGGCTCGGAAATCACACAACACCCCAGTGAGTAAACCCATGTCCAGACCTGACCGCCTTCCACCTGGAAATCTATGTTCTCAATGTGAAAGACCATATGGCTCGAGAATGCCTGTCCATAGCCACTTACAGACCCTTGGAAGACAATCATACTCAGGCCCTATCTACACTACCATATAAAATCTGGATTATCGGCTTTGAACTGGATCATATGGCAGGAATATAATCAAGTCCAAAGCAGATGATCTGGATTTTATATGGCTGTGTAAAATAGGGTTTCCACCAGGAGTGATTGCCTATAGGTAAAGGTAAGGGTTTTCCCCTGACATGATGTCCAGTGTGTCCGACTCTGGAGGTTGGTGCTCATCTCAATTTCTAAGCGGAAGAGCCGGCGTTATCCGTAGATACCTCCAAGGTCATGTGGCCGGCATGACTGCGTGGAGCCTATAAAAGTAGTAATATAAGACAGGGCCCAGGTGAGCTTTGGGTGGTGTTTCCAGACCCTGTGCCTTCAAAGTGGAGAATTTGGTGGGTTCTTTTTAGAAATACTCAATTCTCCCCTCCCTGGGCATTGTCCACCTGCACTGACCACCGAATGTAGTTCGAAACTAGCTCCAAACTGTGTCCGCCAGGCAAGAAACTCCCATTATTCTGGTAAATGTTTTGAAAGCTTCGTTTCCTTGTTGTTGTCAAAGAAATCCCCACGAAATGAGCCTCTGTGGGTTTGTGTCATCCCCATCCGGGCTTCCAAATGGGTTCAGGCTTTCCTGTGCAGCTCTGGAAACTGCATGCAATGGTCAGCATAGATGGGGCCTTAGGCTGGATCTACACTGCCAAATAATGCAGTTTGAACCGCATTATATGCGTTATTTTGGCAGTGTGTGAGTCCAGCCTCAGTCTCTGCGAATGGCTATCCCCAAGCTTTCCCTTAACTCTGCCTCCAGCCTGATTCTCAGATTGTAACTTCTCTCTTGTTCCCCTTCTTACCTTCCTGGCTTTTGGAAAAGATGTCACCGCTCCAGCCAAACCAAATGGCGTGTCTGTTACTGTTAGATAAATGAGAGATGCCCTATAACTCCGAATCTCTTTCAGGACTTTCTCGGGGCGTCCATCCACAGAAGGGGGGGGGGGAGGCTTGTTTGCCACAGGGCTAGAAATGTGCCCCTTTTATCCCCCCCCCCACCCAATAAAACCAATTGACTCGTTTAAAAGTGTGATTAAAATTAATGGGTGTCTCCTCTCTACTGCTTTCCTCATGAATGAACCAATGTGGGGCTGACTCTCATATTTGGGGATCTTGCTCCATTGGGTCTCCCCCCCACCCAGCTCCTCTCTGCCTGGTTTCCTTGTTGTTGTTGTTGTTGTTGTTGTTGTTGTTGTTGTTGTTGATTTTGGGGTGTGGGGCAGGGCTTTTAAATCCCTTTGGTATATAAATAATTATTGTATTGTCGAAGGCTTTCATGGCTGGAATCACTCGGTTGTTGTAGGTTGTTCAGGCTATATGGCCATGTTCTAGAAGCATCCTCTCCTGACGTTTCGCCTGCATCTATGGCAATCATCCTCACAATCTCTGAGGCTTGCCATAGATGCAGGTGAAACGTCAGGAGAGAATGCTTCTAGGACATGGCCATATAGCCCGAAAAACCTACAACAACCCAGTGATTCCAGCCATGAAAGCCTTTGAAACACAAGATGAGTCCACAGCAGACACTCTGCTGGCTGTTGTATTGGATCACACATAGCACTTCCCAAGTGTCTAGGACTGTGTGATGTATCGGCGAATAATGCGTGCAGATCCCAGTAAGGTGGCCTTCTGCAGCTGGCAGATGGTAATTTTGTCAGTGCCGATTGTGTTTAAGTGCAGGCCAAGGTCTTTAGGCACTGCACCCAGTGTGCCGATCACCACTGGGACCACCTTGACTGGCTTGTGCAGTTCGATCTTTAAATCCTCATATCGTGTCAGCATCATCATCATCATCATTATTATTATTTGAAACACAACAAGATGAGTGCACAGCAAACAAGATCGTTATGCTGGTTGTTGTATTGGATCACACCTCGGACACTTCCCAGGTGTCTAGAACTATGTGATGTGTCGAATTATTACTATTACTATTACTATTATTATTAGTCTAGCAATAGTGCATAGCAAACAAGATCACTATGCTGGTTGTATTGAATCACACGTCGGACACTTCCCAAGTGTCTAGGACTATGTGATGTTTCGACTTATTATTATTATTATTATTATTATTATTACTATTATTATTATTAGTCCAGCAATAGTGCATGTGTGTATGTGCCTTCAAGTCAATGTGGTGAATCCATTAATTTGACAGGGGTTTTTAGATCAGGATAACTCAAGAGATGGTTTTGTCGGTTCCTTCTGTTAGCCAAAGCACCTGATATTCACTGACAATCTATTATTATTATTATTATTATTATTATTATTATTATTATTATTATTATTATTATTATTATTATTATTATTATATTATTATTATTATTATTATTATTAACACAAGATGAGTCCACAGCAGACATTCTACTGCCTGTTGAATTGGATCACATGTCGAAGGCTTTCATGGCCGGAATCACTGGGTTGTTGTAGGTTTTTTCGGCTATATGGCCATGTTCTAGAGGCATTCTCTCCTGACGTTTCGCCTGCATCTATGGCAAGCATCCTCAGAGGTATGAGGATGCTTGCCATAGATGCAGGCGAAACGTCAGGAGAGAATGCCTCTAGAACATGACCATATAGCCCGAAAAAACCTACAACAACCCAGTGATTCCGGCCATGAAAGCCTTCGACGATGTATTATTATTATTATTATTATTATTATTATTAGTCCAGCAATGTGGATTTACCACATTGCCTTCAAGTCCATGTGGTGAATCCATTAATTTGACAGGGGTTTCTTAGGTCAGGAAAACTCAGAGGTGGTTTTGCCAGTTCCTTCTGTTAGCCAAAGCACCTGATATTCACTGACAATCTCCCATTATTCTTATTATTCTTATTCTTATTATTATTAGAAACACAACAAGATGAGCCCACAGCAGACAAGATCACTCTGCTAGCTGTTGTATTGGATCATACGTCGGACACTTCCCAAGTGTATTATTATTGGGTTGTTATAGGTTTTTTTCGGGATATATGTCCATATTCTAGAGGCATTCTCTCCTGACGTTTCTCCTGCATCTATGGCAAGCATCCTCAGAGGTAGTGAGATGAGATGAGTCCACAGCAGACAAGATCACTCTGCTGGCTGTTGTATTTGATCATACGTGGGACACTTCCCAAGTGCATTATTATTATTATTATTATTATTATTATTATTATTATTATTATTATTATTATTAAAAGAGTCTCCCCTTCTCTTTCTTTTGGCCTTTTATTGAAACTGGAAATTAGGGTGTTCCTCTACACTTTTCCCCTGAGGCTGAGAGAATGCCCAGCGGGATCTCTCACTTTTCCTACCTATTTCCTTGGGAAACAAAACCAAAACAAATTAAGGAAAGGAAAAGGGAGGCGGTTGACATTGGGAAGCTGGGGGGGGGGGAGGTGTCAGGGTCGGAGTCGGATCTCCCCAGCTGTTGCTATTGCATGTTAGGAAAGCCATTTCCATCCCAGGGCGTTTCACTGGGATGGAAATGTTGGGGCACTTGCCGCCTTCCCTCCATCGCAATGCCAGTAGCCCCAACTTTGCATATTTCCACCTTTGTGGCTTCCCTCCCTGCCTATTGCCTTCCGAGAAAATCCTGAGGACACCTTTCTACTTCTGTATGCTTACACGCAAGGAATACCCCGACTCTTAAGTTATTTAATGTATTGTCGAAGGCTTTCATGGCTGGAATCACTAGGTTCTTGTGGGTTTTTTCGGGCTATAGGGCCATGTTCTAGAGGCATTTCTCCTGACGTTTCGCCTGCATCTAGATGCAGGCGAAACGTCAGGAGAAATGCCTCTAGAACATGGCCCTATAGCCCGAAAAAACCCACAAGAACCTAGTCTTAAGTTATTGTTTTAAACCCCCTTTTTCCTATTTAAATCGCTATATACACAACCCATTTGCAAAAACAACCACCTATACCGCATCTCTTTTTCTAAATAACGCTCTCCCCACTCCCCAAACCCCACTCCTTGCGAAAATCCGGATCTTTTTGGGCAGTTTTGCGTGCCTCTCTTTTGCAATCGTTTTTGTTTTGTCTGAAAGGAAGGATATGTGTGTGTGGTTTGAGGGGGGGGGGGGTGTTAAGGGACAAAACTGCACAACCCAACTACTCCCCCTTCTCTTTTTTTTCCAACCCCGAGGCTAAAATAAACCGCTTTGCGAGATGAAATGACAATGATGAGAAGCGTTTTTTCACGGGTAATAAATGCTATCGATCCGATTCCACGCTAACGACTATGACTTGGGGGCTCTTTAGAAAAACAAGCCGATCGTTTGGATTTTGAACAATCCGATGATCTGGAATTTTTTTTTATTGTTGGAGAAGACTGGTCTGGAATGGTTTATTGTTGGAGAAGACTGGTCTTCTTGGAAATTTTATGTAAAAAGGGGGGATGATTGAGATGGAGCTGGGAAGGCAAACGCACACATACACACATGGTTTTGCTATCCAAGACATCATTGATCTACCTATCTATCTAAATGCCTATCTATCTGTCTGTTTGTCTGTCTGTCACAGAGATAGTATCCCTCCTTCCAAAAAGTCCCCAAAAAGATACAAATAATTGCCATCCCTGACCGAATTGGGTGGGGAGTAAAGGTAAACAAGGAGCTGGACAAGGGTCGCAGGAGTCAACTTGCGACCCCTTCTTTTTAAGTTTCTGCCCCCTCCCTCCCTCTTTCTTTCCCCCCTCCCTCCTTCTCCCTTTCTCTTTTCCTTCCTTACATAACTTACCTCCAAAGCTGAGCGGAGGAATCCTCAAGTCCTCGTACCCCGCATCTTTTGGGAGTAAGGAGGGGAAAGGGAAAAAAAACACAAAACAAAACAAAAAAACCACAACCACGATGACGGGGGGGAAGAAAGGAAGGGGGGAAAACGACTCCTTGAGGTTCAACCCCGTCTCCTTCAGTGTCTTATCCAAAAGGAGGAGGGAAGTGGCACGCTTCGAGCAAGGCAGAGGGGGTACCAACTCTGATGCCAGACCATATGGCTGGCACGTCATCCGCTGGAGTTATCACATGAGCTGCCTTGATTGACAGGCGCTCGCGTGGAGGGAGATCTCGCTCCCTGGGGAAAGCGGGCCCACCATCTGTCATTCCCTACTCTTAAGAAAGAGAGGGAGAAAGGGAAGGAAGGGAAAGCAAGAGGGAGGAAAGGGAGGAAGGAAAAGAAAGAAAGAGACCCAACCCCTGCCACGTCCAGATCTCCAGATCTGTCTGACAAGATGAAGGGATAGGAAAGGGGAAAGGGAAGGAGAGAAGAGAGAGAAGGCGAGGGGTTTGGAAACAATAGAAGAGAGAAAGGGAGGGGGAAACAGGGGAAAGAGATGTTGGAAAAATCCCCTCCTCTCCACCATACACACAAGTACACAAATACTCTCTCTTGCACACACACCCAAGCTTCCCTCTGCCACATTTCTGCCCTGTGCATAGGTGAGGTTGTATACATGTCACATGCATATACATAGGGTTGTTGTAGGTTTTTCGGGCTATATGGCCATGTTCTAGAGCATTCTCTCCTGACGTTTCGCCTGCATCTATGGCAAGCATCCTCAGAGGTTGTGAGGATGCTTGCCATAGATGCAGGCGAAACGTCAGGAGAGAATGCTTCTAGAACATGGCCATATAGTCCAACAAACCTATAACAATACACATACATATACATAGGGTTGTTGGAGGTTTTTCACTGTCTCACTGTGAAAATTTGTATATTGTGGAAGGCTTTCATACCTGGAATCACTGGGTTGTTGTAGGTTTGTTGGTTTATATGGCCATGTTCTAGAAGCATTTTCTCCTGACGTTTCGCCTGCATCTATGGCAAACATCTCACAACCTCTGAGGATGCTTGCCAGAGATGCAGGTGAAATGTCAGGAGAGAATGCTTCTGGAACATGGCCATATAGCTCAACAAACCTACAACAACCCTATGTATATGTATGTGTGTTGTTGTAGGTTTGTTGGGCTATATGGCCATGTTCTAGAAGCATTCTCTCCTGACATTTCGCCTGCATCTATGGCAAGCATCCTCACAACTTCTGAGGATGCTTGCCATAGATGCAGGTGAAACGTCAGGAGAGAATGCTTCTAGAACATGGCCATATAGCCCAAAAAAAAAAAAAAAAAAAAAAAAAAAAAAAAAAAAAAAAAAAAAAAAAAAAAAAAAAAAAAAAAAAAAAAAAAAAAAAAAAAAAAAGGAGAGAATGCTTCTAGAACATGGCCATATAGCCCAACAAACCTACAACAACCCAGTGATTCCAGCTATGAAAGCCTTCTACAATATACACACTTTCACAGTGAGACATAGGCATGATTTGCAGAAGGAGAAGGGAGAATTGAGAGCGATTTTGGGGGGGGGGTGTTCTCAGATCCCCCCCCCCCTTTCCCCCTCATTCTTCAGCTCTCCATACACTAGGGTTAGGGGCCAGAACCTCCATGAAAGTGAAAATCTGCATATGAAGAAATTGCTATTTTAAAAAGCTCTCTAGGAATTTCTCAGCTTTCTAGCCTGACTCTGTAGTCAATGACTGCTAGAAGGTGGCTATAGAATAACATTGGAGAACTGAGAGATAGAGAGTTGTTCTCTCTAGAAATCTCTAGATCAGGGAAACTAAGGCCCTCCAAGGTCATTTACCCAGTCCTCACTCAGGATCAACCTAAGTCTGACAAGACATGAAAGCACACAACAACAACAACAATCCTATCTCATCGGCCAAAAGCAGGCCCACACTTCCCATTGAAATACTAATAAGTTTATATTTGTTAAAATTGTTTGTCATTTTATTTATTGTATTGTTTTTAAGTGTTTTTTGCACTACAAATAAAATATGTGCAGTGTGCATAGGAATTCATTTTTTTTTTCAAATTATAATCTGGCCCTCCAACAGTTTGAGAGACTGTAACCTGGCACTCTGTTTAAAAAGTTTGAGGACTCCTGCTCTAGATAATCTGGCATGACTTTTTATTTATTTATTTATCGCATTCAAAGCAAAGTGGGGGTTGTAATACAAGGGTTGAATAAAAAGTAATACCTCCATCTTCGTAACTCCTCAACAGATGTCACTACTGATATGCAGCAGGTACTGGCTTGTTCAGTAGACTCTCCTCTACAGTTCCATTTTGGCGGAAAGCCATAGCATTGAATGATTGTGGTGTTAAAATGCAAAGTATGGAACCCTGCACAGACGGTTGGTCAATGTGACTAAAGCAACATGCAGTCATTGAATTCTTGACAGCAGAAGGTGTCACCCCAAAGGAGATTCATCAGAGAATACAAGCTGTTTATGGTGATTGTGTTGATGTGAGTACTGTGCGTAGTTGGGCGAGTAAGTTTAAAGATGTTGAGGTGACACCTTCTGTTGTCAAGAATTCAGGGGAGTGGCGGCATATAAGTTCAAATAATAAATAAATAAATAAATAAATAAATAAATAAATAAATAAATAATTGTCCCCACATGGGGAGCCATAGCTGACAGAGGGAGCTCATTTGTGCTCTCCCTGGATTTGAACCTGCTTGTTTAAAAGTGATAAGGAGTCTTTGGAATTATTTTTCTCTGAGACTCTGGGCTGGAGGGCACAGAACCTAGCATTAGGCTGCTATGGGCAACAGATGTTTCTGGGATTGGTAACAACATCTTGGAGGGCATGCTATATTAGCCAGCTATTTTATGTGCTGCTGTCACCTGCTGCCCTCAGAAGAAACTTTTTCATCACCAGTGCAAATCAATATCCAGCTCCCAGTCACACGGAGCAGGAAAGGTCTTGTCTTTTGCCTTCAGGTGCAAAGTTTCTAGATTTTGCCCTGAAGCTTCATGGCCAATGGGCTTGATCATGAAGGAAACTTTCTCGATCACTGAGATTCTCAAATTATACTGTAGATCTTCTTGAGGTTGCTTGGCTAACTATATTCCTGCCCCTTTGGAGGCCTCTAGCCAAATCTCAAGACACATCAAGACTCCTTTCAGAAGCAAGATTCACAAAGAGATGCTCCAGCCCTGCCTTTCGCTTCTGCAATCTTTCACATCTAAGGCCCCACCCCTTATTTTTCCATTTTATTAATATTGCAGCTATGGGGCTGCTCTTGTTGCATTTATATTATGTCTTCCAGAGGCTGTTTGCTGTGACAGATAGTAGCACCAATGACAGTGTGAGATAGTGAATCTGTCTTTAATTGGAATACTAAAGGAGAGGTCTCATTTCCACGATTGGTTCAGCACCATGGATAGTGTCTTCAAGTTTACTCACTGTGGATTCACCCTACTGACATAGGATCCACCAGCCACCACTGGTTGCTTGCAAAGGAATGTTGGACAAATGGCCTGTGAAGGTGATTTTACCTCTCAGCTCTTCAAGTTTGCTGGCCTTCACTGCTGGAACTGGAACCCAGATTCCAATATGTGGGTTATGTATTAAGTCTGCCCTATTAGCATTGATATGATAAAGGGTTTCCTGCAGAATGGAGAAAGAGGATTGAGGATTCAGCTGTGGAGATTCGATGGCCTCATCTGCAGTCAAAGATGGATTTAGCCTTCTCTCCAAGGGGGTCCTTGAGTACAATTGGAATTCCCTTGATGGTAAATGGTCCTGAAGATCTTGAAGGTATACAAATCAGTGCTGACTGGGAGCTTTCATGTCACCGAGGTGATGAATCTGTTCCAGGCTTAAGGAATAATCCAAGCTGCTGAAACCTACCTCCCAGATAGGTTCAGCACTTTGGATAGCTCATCTAAAGTTGAACGTATAATCAATTCACATTACACTGACATGAAAGCTATCAACTGACTCTAATCCATCCATTCCCCCACTTATTACTATATGAACATTTTGCTGAATTACATCCTTACCTCCTTCTGTAAAGGTTTTTCAATCTCAGAATGTGGTGGAGTCTCATCTTTGGATGGTTTTTAAAACAGACTGGATGGCCATCTGCCAGGAATGCTTTGATTGTGTGTTCCTGCATTGCAGAAGGTTGGATTAGATGGTACTTTGGTTTCTTCCAACTCTATGATTCTATGATTAAAATAAGTTATGAATAAGGAGGCAACCATATGCATTGCCCCAAGTATGTGTGTGTGTGTGTGTGTGTGTGTGTGCGTGCGTGCGCATGCGTGTGTGTAGACATAAATAGAAAACTGTCACTCACATACAATATTGCCATGCTGGGGATAGCTGAGAAAAATACCTAGCAACATTATGTAGTGTGGCTATTTTTTAAAAGCCACATAAAATGCATTGGCATTGCTGCAACATCTCCCAATTTCCGTATTTATTTATGTTTTGCTGTACAAGCTTTCAAGCAGCATGCTGATCCTTGCTCCTGCTTTGCCAATGAAGGGGCGGGGTGGGGAACAAGTCTGCAGGGATCAATTTCAGCCCTGTTTGGAAACTCCCAATGGATAATAGCAGGGTGACTAAATGCCGAGATGTACAGAACATAATAGGGTGTCATTAGCACACGTCTCAATACATCTTTATTTCTTTTCATGTTAAAAGCTCCCATTAATCAAAGATTCCAGGGGTAGCCTTTTTTCTCTCCCTGCTCTTTAAACAAAAGTGATCCATTAATAAGCAGGTGCAGATCCCCAGTCTTCCCTCCTCCCTCTTTAAAGGTCTCAGTCTGCTAGAAGTCAGAATACCCAGTGAAGTCAATAAGGCCTCTGGATATAAACATATTTTACAGGCGAGACTTTTGTGTGTGACATTTTACTGCCATTCACACCGCAACAGAAAAAATTACTTATTTGGATGGCAACTACCCAAATTTCTTCAGTCAGCATTGCCCAGTTTTCTCCAGAGTCCTGAATTTCCAGGACAGAATTCTGAATAGGGTCAAGAGTAATGTGCCATAAGAATTCCTCTTTGTGTACATTTTGGGACATGCTCCAGCCAAAGTTGAACATTGTATAGATCCATTTGTTTCAAGGGGAGAAAATAGATATGGGTTTAAATGTCTGCATTTAAAAATCTACTGTTTTACATTTGAAATCAATTGTTTTAAAACTAGTGGTGGTTTTTTTTTAGATGGGCTATGACTTTGGAGATTATGTAATCTACAGTGATATGTGGTTCTTGAACCAATGTTTTAAAGGCTGGATGGGGTTTTTTTTGCCTTGAAAATAATGATCTCAACTCCAATGTCAAATTTCAGAGCATAGAAATTTCCAGTGAAGAAGAATTAATGACATGCCGAAGTGACCCCTGACAGAGTAGCTGTAGGTTGATTCTCTGAGAACATCATCTTATCATC